ATATCTAGTAATGTTCCTTAATCAATACTCATTTATCAAAATTGTAATATTGTTCCTAATTTTCATGCATTTAAGTATAACTAGTAATTTCTTTTTGTTCTTAAATTGCTAATAATCCTATTATTGTTCCTGTTCCTATTCCTGTGTCCGACCCACCTTAAATCCCTGTCCTAATCCTATATTTTTGTTCCTAATTTCTGAACAATCTTTTTATTGTTCCTAAATCCCTGTCCGAATCCTTTAATTTTGTTCCTAATTCCTGAACAATCTTTTAATTGTTCCTAAATTCCTGTCCTAATCCTTTATTTTTGTTCCTAATTCCTGAACAATCTTTTAATTGTTCCTAAATTCCTGTTCTAATCCTTTATTTTTGTTCCTAATTCCTGAACAATCTTTTAATTGTTCCTAAATTCCTGTTCTAATCCTTTAATTTTGTTCCTAAAATTTAAAAATCAGTTTTTTTAGTCTTTAGTCATTAATTTTGACTCTTTTTGAGTCTTTTAAGTAAAAAAAAAAAATGTTCGCCCGCGGCACGATTTTTGTTCCTAATTATTAATTTTTTTGTTCCTAAAAAATCTTGCCCCCCCTCCTTCAATTAAATCCTGAATCCGCCCCTGCGCTTATTTGTTATCAAATCATTGCTATATTATACCTACCTTTCTCATTTATTTTTTGTTTATTGTTCATTTTTTTATTTTGTGCAAGTAAACCCTTATGTTTATTTAATCATCGTTCTTTGATGAAAAGTTGCAATTCTTTAAAGACAATTTTTTTAAAGGGAATGTTTTTTATGCCATATGTAGGGCTGGGCACGTTCCAACTTTTTTTAACTCGTTCCATTCTAGAACGAGGGCCTTCAGCTAGATCGTTCCGTTTATGTCGAGATTATATTTTGACGGTTTCGGAAGCCTCTAAGTCTCTAACAATATTCATTTCGAATGAATTTACGGGGTTTAAAGAAAATGTTGTGTATTTTTTGCAAACGAATTTGTGAAATTCAGTAAAAAGTTTTGTAAGGAATGAGAATGACGTTTTTTTTTAAAAAAAAACGTTATATTTTTTAATCAGCGTCAATTCAATTAGTATAATTAAGTGGTATAAAAAATAAATATTCTCTCTCTAAGGTTAAAAAGTTATTTTCCACCCGCATTTGTACAATGTACATGTACAGTGGTAAAAATCTCAACTTTATCCATAGTTAAAAAGCAAGTACAGTGTAGAACTATCTCTAATGCAAAATATACATACAGGGGAAGAAAGTTCCAAACCGTGAACATGTCAGGTTTGGGCCAAAATAAGAATGTAAGGGTTTCCAGCAAAAGAAATTTTTCGCAAAAAATGCGAAAATTTTTGGTCGCATTTTGCAAACTGTTTTCGCAAAATTTCACATTTTTTCGCGACAATAAATGAAGCGAAATTTTGCGAATTTTTTTCTTGCAAAACTGTGAAATATGAAAATATTGTAGCGAAATGCGAAAATTTCGCGAAAATGTTTTATAGCTGCAGCAATTATAATTGCTCAAAAGAACTTGTAGAATTCTCTGCTCTGATTGCTCAATATTTGAAATTTTATTATGTCATATAAATAATTTCACTTCCTATCCTTTAATAAATGTTTGATGAAGAGAATTTGATTTCACTAGCTATCTTTTTAAGTTTCTATCTGTACGTCCACAATCCATACGTAATTTAATTCATCAATTGGGCTCCCAGATAAACCCCTCTTTAAAAAAGAGTCTTGCATTTTCAAAACTTAATCTTTTTTGAAGAATTTTCGCAAATTTTTTGCGAAAATTTTGCATTTGTTTTTAAAAGTTCTGTATTTTTTGCGACAATTTTTGTATAATTTATATTTTTTTCGCATTATTTTTTCGCGAAATTTTCGCATTATTTTATACGTGAAATTTTTTGCATTACTTTTTTCGCAAAATTTTTGCAAACATATTGAAGTAAATTTTCGCGAAAAAAGCAACAATTTTCTGTTTTAATGAGTGAACAAAACGCGAAAATAAAACCAAATGGTTGCAAAATTTTCGCGAAACGATTTTTCCTTTTCGCTGGAAACCCTAGTTATCTACTTCAACTCACTCAATTGTTTGTGTCTTTCAATTGAGAAAAAAACCGTCGGCCTACTTTTACGTAAAATAGTCAAGGCTACATCTTTAGACTCACAAATTAAAAACACTATAGTCTACAAAAATTGAGGAAATTCTTCTTTTTGAAAATAATTGATTTAATTTTGGTACAAATTCACATTTTGAGCACAACTGTTGGAAGAGGTTAGTATTTGAGACATTGAAGTTAGGGTTGTTAATCGTTTTTGAAAATGATCGTTTAACGATCGTTTTTTATTTCGTTTTTCGATCGTTTTCAAAAACGATCGTTTTTTTTAAAACAACTTGCCTTCCATTCAAATTCTGCTCAGAACAACTTTTCTGCTGAAATTAAGCAGGTTAAATCAAATAAAAATGTAATATTTTTCAAAAGGTTACTTTATTGTTTGATTACCAGGGTTTGCTTGTAAAAGAATATTATGTCCTGCCGCTGTTTAAACGTTACATAATTTGCTTCCATGCATTAATTTTCACATTTCTAATTTATTCTGCAACAACAGTTCAAATAATTTTCTTAACCTACATTTGATTTACAAAAGAACTAAACACTCTCCACAAGTTCTAATTTTAAATTATGAATTCTGTTAGATTACAGCCTACAGGTCATATGTTAAAAATATCAAAGGTTTACACTTTCAGATTGCAAAGGTATAGGAATTAGAAAATTAAAGTTTGTGGTATTAAGTGTTAAGTTCATTTTATATTCTAAATAATACACATTTTTGATGCAGTATTAAATCAGATATATTTTCCTTCAAACATATTTAATCTGTTATATCATTTATAAGATAATATGTTTGTATCACTGGTTGTCTGACTTAAAAGGTTACGGGCAACGCCGATTACTTAAGTAATTCAGCTTGCATCATATAGATAAATATAATAATTATGTGTCAGATTGTCAGTCTTAAACCATGATTTGTCTCCGCAAATTAAAAACACTTTTAACATTTTATATTTTTAATATTTAGATACATATAGTTATTTTCATCCATGTTTTTGGGCAAAACCATGGCCAAATAGATTCTTTTTTCCTTATGAGGATATATTTTTATTGTGATAAATAAATTGTCTGTTCCTTCATGTACAGAGCCCGAATTTTTTCATCCGTACTTTTTGCAAACATATGACGTCTCCACTTACTCACGTCGCCTGAATACGGAGGAATTAAGTACTGTCTAAATGGGATTTTCTACAACATCTAGTGTCCGACCATAAACTGCAACATCGCGCGTCTTTTATTTCTCATTTCATGCTATTATTCAATAAAGTTACCGAATATCCCTTTTGTTCTTTTATTTGTGTCAACAAGTGTACATGTAATAACTATTTGATTTGATTTGATTACTTATTTATATCTTTGATTGCTAATTTGTTTATTTCTTTGTTTTTCTTATTTTTCATTTTACTTTTTTATTATTTATTTTATTTGTTTATAATCAATAATTGATCATTTTATTTAAAAGACTTGAAGAATTTTTTCCGAATTAATTAAAATAAAAAGATATATGAAGAGCTTAGAATAAACTTTGTTTGTCTGTCTGTTTCTACAATATATGTCATGAAACGGCTGAACCAATCGGGCGGCCCAAACTTGTTGGAGCATCTCACATGACCCAGGGAAGGATTATGAATGGTTGAAATTTAAAAGTTTTGCCTGAAATTTTTTTTTTAAATCACCCAATTTTTACAGATAACTAGCTGCGAACATTTGTTCTTATTGGAGCCGGAGAATGATGAATAAAAAGTCGACTTAAGCCACAGTTAAACGCTGATTTGAAATTGAAATGTTGTTAACATGTTTCATCTTATTATTAATTATTCTTACATATTTGAGACCTAAGCCACAATTATTCCAAACCAATTTCTAAGTTGTAGTGGGAGGGGGGGGGGGGATCCAATATCAGCTGATAGAAAGATAGAACTGAATTGTGCAAGGGAAAAATGCTTTCTCAGTTGAGTTGAAACTTTGACACCAGATATAGAATCATGCAGTTACACATCTATCTGACATTTTGGAAATTGATTTGGCTTATTCTTATAATAGGAGGAGAAATAGAAACTGTTTTGTTAAGATTATTTTTTTCAATTGAGATGAGAGGCACGATTTAATATCTTATAGGGGTGGCCAGCTTACGATATTTGTTGGAAAGTTTTAGTGCTTGTCTTTCGATCTCAGAAATGAGTCCCCCCCCCCCCATCTAAAGCTAACCATGGATAAAAACATAAGCAACTAAGTTTTATTTATATCTATTGTCAGTACTCAAAAGTGTTGCTATATACAGGAATACCCACAAAGGATGAGACTGTATAAGGAAGATCTAATACTTATATGATGATCTCAAGGTTAAATTAAGTCTTACATTTGATTTGGAGGAAACTCGTTCACAATAACCCTGAGGCAGAAGCCCAATGCAAAGAGAATAGAATATATTATACTCCTTGCCCAGAGGAGTTACGCGCAGTCGGCGTAGAATTGCAAGACAGAGAGTGCTTGTTCTACGCCGACTGCGTGAAACTCTTTTGGGCTTCTGCCTCACGGTTATTGTGATCGAGTTTAATCCAAATCTTGAAAAGACGACATTTAGGGTCCAATCTGAAGTTTTAATTAATGGCTTAAAAAATAATTAACCGAAGAAAAAAAGTTTACTGCATTTTCAGGGAATCATGAATATATGGTAACAGACATTATAAATTCCGTACAGTGGTCTCTGAAGTCTCCATCTTTTGTGGGAAACCAAGGTAGTCATCTCTGTTTGGGTATCTGTTTTTTGTACAGATGTCCGATCATAACTCATGAACCACTTGACCGATTCGCCTAAAATTTTGATTGGGAAACTAAGTAGAATGTCGTTAGCTTGATTCTAAGTTGGGTGGGTCAGCTTATATTCCAGGGAAAGCTGGGTTCCCAAACTAGTTAATAATATAGTTCTCTCTCTTGTAAAATATACATTTAGGACTTTCCAGTCTTTCAATTGACTAGTTGTAAGAAAGTAGAATAAGTGGGAGAAGTTAGTACTTTTCCTGCAGGCCTGTTAAAAGATGTATAAACGTTTAAATTGATTTATATTGAACAGTCAATGCAAACATTTAATTATTTCAATTTTTACTACAAACTTAATTCAATTATTTCATTTTTCTAAAGACTGAATTCAATCATTTCATATCCACGGGCTTAAATTCAATTCTGTCGTGTCTTTCTAGCATTTAAGACTTAAATTTATTTTATTTATGTCTATCTTCTGACTTAATTCAATTATTTCATATCTAGCTTACAGACGTAATTTAATTTTTTCATGTCAATCGGCAGATTTAATTCAATTAAATTATTTTTCTAAAGACTTAAATTCAATTTTTTTCATGTCTATCTACTGACTTAATTCACTTATTTCATGTCTATCTACAGATTTAATTCAATTATTTCATGTCTATCTACGGACTTAATTCAATTATTTCATGTCTATCTACAGATTTATTTCAATTATTTTATGTCTATTTACGGACCTAAATTCAAATCTTTTATTTGTCTACCTACTATCTAAAGCTTAAATTTAATTTTTTCATGTCTATCTACAGATGTAATTCGATTATTTCATGTCTATCTAGTATCTACAAACTTAAATTTAATTTTTCATGTATTATCCATTTCATGTCTATGGATTTCATGTCTTTTTATACTGACTAATTCAATTACTACATGTCTGTCTACTTATCGTAAACGTACACTGCACTTATCGTAAAAGTGCAGACTTAATTAGTTGATCTATTTATAGTGACTTTAATAAAACAATTAGAAATTTATTTTTGCAATAATTTTAACCATATTCATTAGATTTTGTATAAAAATTAAAATGTCAATTATTCCAAATTAGTTTTTTAAATATAAACTAGGATAATTTTTTAAAAGTTAGTGTTAGTGTCCCAACCCACTATAAAACATCAAATATAGCAAATGTTATTTCCAATTTTTTTTTTAAGTTTCGGCTTGTGACCAGGGTTGACCCTTTTCAGCTCTAACGATATGATATTAATCAAAATAAATGATTACATAATCTGGAAAATATATAATTAAAGCAACTATCTCTATAGTCTATATATCTGCAATTAAATGTTTACAAATGTAAATCTTTCACAATTGACATGCTAGGACTTCATGTACGTTATTTTTTTTAGTAGAATTATAAATCTTAAAAATGCATCTGTTATATACACAGATAGGGTTTCAAAACAAAACTTATCAGTTTCTCTAATTTTGGGCAATAATTCAAGTTTTGCATGCTTAAAAGTACTGTTGACGGTAGTTTAAGTGACTTTTAATTTTTATTTTTCATATGCCGATTCACAACAGTACCTTAATACTCTTTATGGAATCAGCAATGAGGAAGATATCGTCGTTTTCATTTCTTAAAAATATTTGATCTCTATTAACTTCCTTCGGTCTTCTCTGCTGCAAAAATCCAACAACTATAAGAGATGAAAATTATCAATTTGTAAAGGGAAAAAAACAGTGCAATAATTCTAGCATTTTTGCTCAGACATAGTAATAAAAGGTGCCATTGTAAATCGTACATGCAATTTTTTAAAAGATCTATTAAAAAACAACTTATTAAATCTCTCTTTATAATTTTCCAGATTTAGAATGGGGTCTGGAAGGAAAAAAGAGGATGAAAGGGAAGGGTTTAGAATGGTTCCAAATCATGATGATGAAGAGAATATAGAAAAAGGTAGGAAAATGGGGGAAAACCCAAGAATTTATGAAACAAAATAAAATAAATTTAATTCATATTAGGTTATTTGTAGAGCTAGGCAGACCATTTTAAAGTGCACGACTTTTCCCGTACCATTCACCTGATATTTAGACCCGGCACGACCTCAATTCCCTTAATAGACGGCATACCAAACTAAATCAGAGAAGGATGGCCTTCAACATTCTTTGGTCATTCGAGTCACATTTTTTCCTAAAATATAACTCATCTGAGCCATTTCCAACAATCAAATTTCTTGTAAAGTTCGTTTTTAAAAACTATAGAGTCATCATAGGATCCGGATTGTAACCCTGTTCAAGACATCTCGTTCGAAAGAATGTGGCTCGGATGTAGAATTGATGTGGCTCGAATTCCTGCCCTTGATGCATCGTTGTGAATAGTTGATGATGATGTTTTCATTTATGAAATGCGCAAAGTGCTGTTTAGGGATGAGCACAAGAACGTTTGCCTTCATGCAAAAGAAATCAAAACCGATTTCTATCGTAATTAGATTTATTTTCCTCATTCCTCATCACATGAAACGAAACCTACATCGACTAGATCAAGGTACTAATGCAAGGAAAGTTAATTGCGGTCACGTTTACTCTGCGTACATATTGAAATCGGTTCTCTCTAGTCGGAATTTGTAAACAAGAATAGATGCATCAGTGTTCGTCTGGTATCCGAGGAGGTTAAAAGCATTATATTTTGAAAATTTTGATAATTCACATAATAGTTTCCTATGACCTGAATACTTCATAGATTATTTTTGTGAAAATGGATTCCATGTCAGGCTGTGACATCCGTCTTGTGTTTACTTTTCCGCCCAAAGACAGTACACTGCAGTACAAAAAATACGTTTACCTCTGAAATAATTTTCCTTGCATTAGTACCTTGGACTAGATAGACATCTCTATTATCTTTGGTTTATACTAATGTGAAAGAGTACAAAGTTCATGTGCACAATCTGTACATAAGTACATAAATAAGGTTCAGATACTTCCAAATCAATAATAGTGAAATTAACAAGACTGAAATGTATATTTTTGGTTATGATTCAAAGGGAATCGTTGTTAATCCGTGATGATTAAGATAAAAATGATTTATTTTAGTGCATACTGTTCTTTTTTTGGAGGGGGGGGGGGGGTAACGGTGACAAATAAATATCTGTAATAGCTTCTATGATGAAAGTTTTTAGAAGCTTATAATGTCAAAAAATCCCTGAAATTTGAATTTAATCATAGATCAATATTTTAAATATTTCTGTGGACACCTTATATTCTTCTTATCTTACAGTTTATCAGTATAATTTAACATGTATTAACCCTAGTTGTCTGGATTATACTAGTTTAAGTGAGTAAGGGTGGGCAGAGGGAGCTTGAGGGTTAATAGAGATTACAGCATTAGAAGAGAAGCGTGTTATAGACATTAATTTTTAATTAACTTTTTACTTAAATCTATTTACTAAATCAAAATTCAATGTTTTTTTATAAAATTTCTTTGTATCCGCGTTCCTGGATTTTCCAAAATGTTGTATGTCTCTTCTGACACGAGAGCATTTAAATACCCTGACTTTTGTAACCAAATTTACTCTAAAGTGGTAAAAAAACGGTAGAGCACATTTCAAAAAGCAAAAGCAGCGTAATCTTGCACTTTGCAGTCTTTTCATTTGAAATGTGTTCTTATTACACTAGAAGATATCGTTAAGTTTTCTTTGGGACACCCTTTACTTAGAGTGAAATCCGCATGATTTGAGAAATTAAAGATTGAATCGAATCTTGAATGAGTTCAGTATTAAAGAAACCGGGCCTATGTGACATATTTAGATCTGAATATTCGATATGGATAAATATACAATAAAACTTTTATCATACTAATTATTGCATTTTTAAATTAATCTACTTGTGAGTGTTCGCCAAAATTATCAAGATTAAACATAATTTGATTAGCAGGCTCTCTGCTGTTCCAGTTGGATCGCTTTACGTACGAGGGTGCTAGAGCGTCGGGAAACCCGTTGGTCGCAGGGTGCAATTTAAACTGCCTGTATTGATAATCCTACAATATACCATCCTCGCTTAAGCTGGACGAGATGCAATTCGCTTTTTGGTCTATAATACAACAATCTTTTCACCTTAGATCATTGGTTAAACCTGAGATTTATAAGTAAACCTGAGATCCTATAATAGTACTGAGATCTTTGAGTAAACCTGAGATCCTTGAGTAAACATGAGATCCTTGAATAAAACTGAGATCCTTGAGTAAACCTGAGATCCTTAAGTAAAACCTGAGATCCTTGAATACACCTGAGATCCTTAAGTAAACCTGAGATCCTTAAGTAAACCTTAGATCCTCGAGTAAAACCTGAGATCCTTGAATAAACCTGTGATCCTTGAGTAAACCTGAGATCCTTGAATAAACCCGAGATCCTTGAGTAAACCTTAGATCATTGAGTAAACATGAGATCCTTTAATAAACCTGAGATCCTTTAGTAAACCTGACATACTTTAATAAATCTGAAATCATTGAGTAAACCTGAGATCCTTTAATAAACCTAAGATCCTTCAGTAAACCTGAGATACTTTAATAAATCTGAGATCATTGAGTAAACCTGAGATCCTTGAGTAAACCTGAGATCCTTAAATGAACCTTAAACCTAAGACCCTTGAGTAAACCTGAGATCCTTAAGTAAACCTGAGATCCTTGAATAAAACTGAGATCCTTGAGTAAACCTGAGATCCTTAAGTAAAACCTGAGATCCTTGAGTCAACCTGGGATCCTTAAGTAAAACCTGAGATCCTTGAATACACCTGAGATCCTTAAGTAAACCTGAGATCCTTAAGTAAACCTGAGATCCTTGAGTAAAACCTGAGATCCTTGAATAAACCTGTGATCCTTGAGTAAACCTGAGATCCTTGAATAAACCCGAGATCCTTGAGTAAACCTGAGATCATTGAGTAAACCTTAGATCCTTTAATAAACCTGAGATCCTTTAGTAAACCTGAGATTCTTTAATAAATCTGAGATCATTGAGTAAACCTGAGATCCTTAAGTAAACCTGAGATCCTTGAGTAAAACCTGAGATCCTTGAATAAACCTGAGATCCTTGAGGAAACCTAAGATCCTTATATGAACCTGAGATCCTGGAGTAATAGATTAAAATAACAAATGAATTGGGATGCAAATTATAGATAAAAGTAAAGCACAATTGTTTATCTTTTTCATTGAGTATGTGTAGACTGTAGAGAGATAAATTACAGTTTTGAACCAAGGAAGGTTTATTCAGGCATTATTCTCATTATATTCTTCCCCTGTACAATAATATGATTAATTGAATAGTCTGGAGAGCAAATATTCATCAAGGGAATACTCCCGGACCCCCTCCCGCCCCTCCTCTTTTATATTTTACGAACCCTAACAGTTCCTATCTCAGAACTCACGGACCCCCTCCCGGCTTCCTCTTTTACATTTTACGAACCCTAACAGTTCCTATCTCAGAACTCACCGACCCCCTCCCACCCCTCCTCTTTAATATTTTACGAACCCTAACAGTTCCTATCTCAGTACTCACGGACCCCCTCCCGGCCCTCCTCTTTTATATTTTACGAACCCAAACAGTTCCTATCTCAGGCCTAACTTCTCATACAATTACAATGAAAGGGTTTCCGATAGTGCTCCAATGATAAAGGTTTCTTCTCTACATTAACATGAAAATTATATAAATTTAATTCCAAAACCAATATAACTGCTCCCTGTTAAATATTTTTTTTCAGACTTTTATCTTTATTTTTTCGGATCAAACTTGAAAATTTAATGCTGGGACATTTTTTGTGAAAATTTAGAAAAATGGACACGGAACATCTAATAGGTATAGAAGAATGCAGATAATTTTCTGAAAATAAAGGGTTTGTGAGTTCAAATAAGTTCAAAATTTTTTATTAAATTCTTCGTATTGTTTCTTCCAATTTTTGTGTAACTTCTGGGTAAATAAAAGAAATATATTAGTAAATTTAACTAACCTTATGGTCTGGATAGATAGAGAAAAATGGAAGATTTTCATCCGATTTTAACAGTAAAATAGTTTTAATTTCCGGAATGTTATTATTATAATCAGGAAAAACATTAAAAAACTGCAAGAACATCTTATTTTAGGTGATGTTGATTTGGTTAAATATGATCCTTATGCGCCCCCAGATGGAGGCTGGGGCTGGGTTGTTATGATTGCCAGTTTTATTTGTAATCTGGTAAGTTTTATCTGTGATTTTGTGAACATTATCTGTAATCTGGTAAGTTTTATCTGTAATCTGGTAAGTTTTATCTGTAATTTAGTAAGTTATATCTGTAATCTGGTAAGTTTTATCTGTAATTTAGTAAGTTATATCTGTAATCTGGTAAGTGTTATCTGTCATCTGGTAAGTTTTATCTGTAATCTGGTAAGTTTTATCTGTATTCTGGTAAGTTTTATCTGTATTCTGGTAAGTTTTATCTGTAATATGGTAAGTTTTATCTGTAATCTGGTAAGCTTTATCTGCAATCTGGTAAGTTTTATCTGTAATCTGATAAGAGTTATCTGTAATCTGGTAAGTTTTATTTGTAATCTGGTGAGCTTTATCTGTAATCTGGTAAGTTTTATCTGTATTCTGGTAAGTTTTATCTGTAATATGGTAAGTTTTATCTGTAATCTGGTGAACACGACTGACCTGGAAGCTGTCCTGCTGAAGAGTAGAGCGGCGGGAGGACAAGGAGAGGAAGAGGATAGTAAGCTTCTCGCCGCCTAGACCAAAGTCAAAGGAGAAGAGAATACTTACAAGGGTTGTTGCCTAAGTGTGGTAAATAGTTGTAAAGTGTGGCGAGTAGTTTATGGGAGATAAATAGGTCCAGGTAGGAAAGTAGGAGTAAAGAAAGGTAGGTAGGTGATAAGAAGAGGGGGAAGTTTAAACCGCCTAAAGTATAAAGCCTAAAGGGGGTAAAAGTCAAAGTAGGAGAAATAAAGAAGAAGTGGTTGGAAAGAAAGAAAGGAGTGGGGGGGCGGGATATTTATCCGAAGTGAAGCGGTAGGGAGGACTGGAGGAAGGAGACTGAGCTAGGGATGACGTGTAGTTTATATGGCGTGTGAGGAAGTGGGTAGCGCCGCGTAGCGGGAGAAACTACAGTACAAGGAAGAGTAGCAGGGACTCTCCCAAATGTCGTCGTCCTCACTCAGTTTAACCCTCAGACATTCTGTCTGACGCCTAAACAAGCATGAACACGACTGACCTGGAAGCTGTCCTGCTGAAGAGTAGAGCGGCGGGAGGACAAGGAGAGGAAGAGGATAGTAAGCTTCTCGCCGCCTAGACCAAAGTCAAAGGAGAAGAGAATACTTACAAGGGTTGTTGCCTAAGTGTGGTNACAGATTCTGTTGGTTGGGAATTTTGATTTGGCAGCTGCAATGTGCACCACTACTTTGGCCACTCTGTCGAAAATACCCGCACTGCTAGTGCAACCGAAAATAAGGCAAAGTTCTTTAAATGCCATGCCCAACCAAGTGAACCATTGAAGGTCTGTGTCTTCCGGTCTCACAGCTATGTGTTTGTAGGCGTCAGCCCAGTCGATCTTGCACATTTTAGCGTTTTTCCCGGCTAGGTGAAGAGCTCTGAGCCACTTTGTTGTGGAGGACATAATGGTTGGAAAGTCGTCTTTGTTAATGCCCTCGTTGACGCAGTTGCCGATAGGAGAACTTAAGTTTAGAATGATGCGCACGGCTCCTGTAGGTTTTAGTTTGGTCATCATGCCATTTATCTTTGCGCTGGCAGGGACATGTGTTAATGGAACGGGACCGTAAGCAAATTTTTTCGTCGTCCAGTCAGCAATGGCGTCTGTCACATGTTCCGCAAATTCGAACGCACTAGGGGCATTAGTTGAGAAAGAAGGGAGTCTGGAGGAGCCGTTGCAACCCAAGTTGGCGCCGTGCAGCAGGTCATTGTGAATTGTATTGAGCAAGGTTAAGTCGACGAATTTTGTTTCTAGGGCCATTTGTTTCAATAGATGTGGGTTCACCATTGATTTCGAGGGTTGCACTAGGTTAGTTGGGAAATTGTTCCAGAACTCGGAGGGAGCTGGTTTTCTGTAGTTTTTAAGTATTGGTAGAGTGTGTTTTGGCTTGAAGATTTTTGCAGGAGGTAGAGGAGGGATATCTTCTGAAGATAGCCTTTGGTGTAGTAATTTAAGACTAAGCATAAGATCCATGGTGCGACGACTGATTTCTAAACAATGGTATAGGTAATTAATAAGTTTTGGTTGGTGTTAAAATAACAATTATATAAATTGTGGGGAACTTAGGTTGTTGTATTTCTTTGTGTTTACTAAAATCGATCATTGCTATACGGGGCTTTGTAGCGCGCGACAAAGTTTGTTGTAAATGTCGTCTTCGTAAAAAATGTATCTAGATTTATGTTTCCAAATACCGGGTGTCCCATAAAACATGACAATTGGTAAATAGTTTGGAAAATTTCCCCGCATAATTTTTAAGTCGTTTGATACTATGATCAACAAGAAATTAATATGGAAGTCATTTAAATCGACATTATTTGCAATGAAAAAGATAATGACGGACGAGTTTTCTTTAAATTTAAGTGGAAATAACGATGAACTAATATTACTTGTTAATTATTGATAGACGTAGTACTAACTAGATTAAGTTAAATTTGATTCCCCGTAATTAAATTTACTAGAAAGTTTTTGGTAAAATGACGTATTTGTTGTTTGGCGCTTTCATGTAAATCCCCTTTGGTTACATTTATTTAGGCAAAAAGAACATGGGTTATAATAATCATTGAATGTCGTCATCATATATCAATGTATCAGACCCGGCCTAATCCACATGCACTATAACAGAAGTTAATGTTTTGTTAAAATGTAAGTCTCTAACTGTGTTTTCCTGAACCATTATGATACCAATCCAAGCAAGTGTAATTATATCAAGATTTTTATAAACATGAATTTAAAATAGACCTGTATAAAAAACGTTTATCAAAATATTTAGGTATATTTAGAGAGAGATGAAGTGTTCACTAAATTTAAGATCTCGATTATTCCAAGTACATAATTTTGATTGCAATAATGTGATAAAAATTTAAAGACAAGATGTTCAATGGTTCAATCATTTAAAACTGCCATTATTGACTGAGAACGTTCCAAATTACTATCAATTTACTTAATTTAAATGTTCGTGACATTTTCAAACATGAAATTAAAATGTTCAATAAAGTGTTATGTATTTGATCACGAGTGTGGTCTAAGAAGCAACAAAAATTGCATGCATGATTGTGAAAGATGAAAATAAGTTTACGAACAGATAAGATAAAAACGTTTTGTATCTAGATTTATGTTTCCAAATACCGGGTGTCCCATAAAACATGACAATTGGTAAATAGTTTGGAAAATTTTTCCACATAATTTGTAAGTTGTTTGATACTATGATCAACAAGAAATTAATATGGAAGTCATTTAAATCAACATTATTTGCAATGAAAAAGATAATGAAGGAAGAGTTTTCTATATATTTAAGTGGAAATAACGATGAACTAATATTACATGTTAATTATTGATAGACGTAGTACTAACTAGATTAACTTAAATTTGATTCCCCGTAATTAAATTTACCAGAAAGTTTTTGGTAAAATGACGCATTTGTTGTTTGGCGCTTTCATGTAAATCCCCTTTGGTTACATTTATCTAGGCAAAAAGAACATGGGTTATAATAATCATTGAATGTCGTCATCATATATCAATGTATCAGACCCAGCCTAATCCACATGCACTATAACAGAAGTTAATGTTTTGTTAAAATGTAAGTCTCTAACTGTGTTTTCCTGAACCATTATGATACCAATCCAAGCAAGTGTAATTATATCAAGATTTTTATAAACATGAATTTAAAATAGAGCTGTATAAAAAACGTTTATCAAAATATTTAGGTATATTTAGAGAGAGATGAAGTGTTCACTAAATTTAAGATCTCGATTATTCCAAGTACATAATTTTGATTGCAATAATGTGATAAAAATTTAAAGACAAGATGTTTTTTTTTTTTTTAAAGGAAGATAGATAGCAAATGGTTCAATCATTTAAAACTGCCATTATTGACTGAGAACGTTCCAAATTACTATCAATTTACTTAATTTAAATGTTCGTGACATTTTCAAACATGAAATTAAAATGTTCAATAAAGTGTTATGTATTTGATCACGAGTGTGGTCTAAGAAGCAACAAAAATTGCATGCATGATTGTGAAAGATGAAAATAAGTTTACGAACAGATAAGATAAAAACGTTTATTGAATTATGAGCTGATCATCTGTATATAAGCATAAACATATAATGAAAAAATTAAATACAAAGCGCATATATTAAGAATTGTTAAGAAAAATGAAAACATGATATATGAAAAATTTACAAAAATTAGGTTGAACTTAAAATATTAATAGGTAAGAAAAAATTTCCAATAAAACCATTACTATTGACTGTTATTAAATTTAAAAGATTATATCCGCTATAAATTAGGAAGGAAAATAGTGCTCGATTCTGGCCACAAATAACTAAAATTAATAAAGAACTTTAACAGATAAACCCAGTTAGTGTTTGACTCTGGGGTGGCGAGCTAGGCAGTAGGCATTCTTGGTGGGATCCCACTTGTTGCATTGGTGAACGTATTCCTTGTTCCTGGTGTCTTTACAACCGACTGGGGAACCTGCGTTCCTGCAGGAACCATTGTTAAAGTTGAAGCAAATTGGGTGACCACCGATCAGCACGACTTTGTTCCTGTTAGATTGACCAAGGCTAGCGGAAGGAGTGAAAGTTGAGCTCGGCCCTTGCTTGTATTTAGGTTTAACAATGTCTAACCTGGGAGTTCGGCCAGTTGGTACGGAGTTCGAAAGACCTGCCGCAGTTAAGACGTTCTTGAGGGCGTCCTCCTGCTCTTGAAAAGACATGATAACCTCTTTCCTGCCGGCCCTGGGGGCGTTCTCTCTGAGCACTGTGTTGAAGAAAGTTGCAACTAGGTTGACCCGCTCAGTCAGAGTAGCAGCACAGCTGAAGTAGTTATATTTGTTAACCAGACGTTGTAAAATTAACCCAGTTTGGTCATATGGCCACAGATGGAGCAGGATGACAGAGTAGTTCAACAGAGCATCCGATACCTGGGAAAGGCTGGACGGAGATTCCCAGCAATAGTCCAGAGAAGAATAAATCCCGCTTTCATCTCTTTT